ACATGGTGAAGCCCCCCGTCTCTACAAAAAAAATGCAAAAATTAGCTGGGCATGGTGGCACACACCAGTGGTCCCAGCTACTCAAGAGGCTGAGGCAGGAGGATCACTGGCACCTGGAAGTTGAGGCTGCAGTGAGCTGAAATCACACTGCTGCAATCTAGCCTGGGTGACAGAGTGAGACCTGGTCTCAAAAATAAATAAAAATGAAATAATGGAGTCAACGTACATGCAGAATGTGAATGGATCTGAAAAATAAAGTGCTAGAGAAAAAAGTAAAAAAAACAGAATGGGCTATAAAACAGTACCTTCTATGTAAATTAAGAATGCACACAGTTCTGAGAAACTGTCACCACCAAGAGAAGTCTAAGGACAACTCTGAATAGAAAAATCGGCCAGGCGTGGTGGCTCACGCCTGTCCAGCACTTTGGGAGGCCGAGGCGGGTGGATCACCTGAGGTCAGAAGTTCAGGACCAGCCTGGTCCACATGGTGAAACCCCATCTCTACTACATATACAAAAATCACAGGTAGTCGCCTGTAATCCCAGCTACTCGGGAGGCTGAGGCAGGGGAATTGCTTGAACCCGGGAGGCGGAGGTTGCAGAGAGCCGAGATGGCGCCATTGCACTTCAGCCTGGGGAACAAGAGCAAAAACTTCATCTAGGGAAGGGAAGGGGAGGGGGAGGGGGAGGGGAGAGGGGAGGGGAGGGGAGGGGAGGGGAGGGTCGCAGCAGGTTAAAAAAAAAAAAAAAAGGCAGCAGTAAGGAAATCTGAAGAAAGTGTAAATCTTAGTTAATGATAATGTGCCAATATTAGTTCATTAATTGTAACAAATGTATCCTATTAATGTAAAGTGTTAATAATACAGGAAACTGGGAATGGGGTAGATGGAAACGCTGTACAGTCTTCCGATTTTTCTGTAAGTCTAAAACTGTTCTACACAATAAAGTCTTTTTTTTTTTTAATTAAAAAACAAACACTATATCTTTTCCAGAATGATGACACCTTGGAATGACTGCCTGCGAGGTAGCAAGCAGAGCAGCGTCAGGGGGAGATTTAAACAGATAACCCACGAGTTCTTGTGCAGACCAGTGATAGTAATATGCCATATGGTTGAAAAGTAGGGTAAACTCAACCTTTTGCATTCGAGGTCCCAACACTGATCATAATAACCACCTTTTGGAAGACAGAGACAACACTGCCAGACAGTAGGCCACAATAAGAGGTGGAGGCTCTGATGACAGGGATGCTGGGGGAGGCTGCGCGAACTGGAGTAGCCTCATGCAAAAGTGTTGAGTGGCCTTGAAGCCATGGGTGGGGGCTGGGAGGGAGGAGTCTGGGACAGGAACAGGAACAACAGGAACAACTACCCAGGACCCCAGTCTAACACTGGTCAGTCCCAAGAGCCATCTCTGTGCCCTCCAAAGCAGGGAACATCCGACAGAAACCAGAATGAAGCATGGTGGAGAGACGGGGGCAGTCGAGATGGGCAATGGTGTTGATTGTAGCATTAAGGGTGGACAGGACCATTACATTTTAATTTCCAATCCACAGTGAATAATTTTTAGTGTATGTCCCCAATATTTCATTGTACATGCTAAGAAAAAAAAAAGTATGCATTGTTGAACTGAAATTCAGATTTAACTAGGCATGCTGCATTTTTGTTTGCTAAACCTGGCAACTGTAAATAATAATAATAGCAGTAATATTCATTGTTAGTGTTCTAGGTACGTTATTTAGTTACCTTGTTTCATCTTCATAATAACCCACTGAAGAAGGTACTGTTATTTTTATTCTCTCTTTTTTTTTTTTTTTTTTTTTGGAGACAGAGTCTTGCTCTGTCACCCAGGCTGGAGTACAGTGGTGCAATCTCGGCTCACTGCAACCTCCACCTCCAGGGTTCAAGCAATCCTCCTGCCTCAGCCTCCAGAGTAGCTGCGACTACAGGTGCGCACCACCACACCCAGCTGATTTTTGTATTTTTAGTAGAGACAGGTTTTCACCATGTTGGCCAGGCTGGTCTCAAACTCCTGACCTCAAGCAATCCACCCGCCTCACCGTCTGAGATGAATGCTGAGATTACAGATGTGAGCCACTGCACCCTGCCCTGTTATTTCCTTTTTATAGACCAGGAAGCTTTACCAAAAGGGTAAGGTAACCTGCCCAAGGTCATGAGCTAGTAAGTCAGGCCTGGAATGTGAACATATGTAATTGGCCTTAAGAGCTCACCCTCTTGAGCACTGCTTCCCAAATGAGCAGCTGAGTGAAGCCCTGGCCTCTGCTCCCTCAGACCCAACAACAGAGGTATGCACTACAGCTCCCACATTGGTAAGCTCCTGGAGCTCAGAATGCATCTTTACCATGGACACACCATGTTAGCAGATCCCAGGTGGAGCCACCAAGTGAGCTTTGGGTTTCGAAAAGTGAAATCAGCACTCCAACAGCAAGGAAGCCTAAAGCATCCCTGGGAGCACTCTCTTCCTACATGGGTGGAAAGCAGAAGAGTGTCTTCTGCCTTAAGGGTCTGGCAAAGCAGCACAGGCCGGCACCACGAGGCATGAGCCAGGCCACATGCCATTCTGCCTGGGGACCGGGGAAAGGAAAGGATGTATGACCTCTGGGGATCCCTTCCAGTTTGAGGAGAGCATTGACTTGAATCTCTTTTTTTTTTTTTTTTTTTTTTGAGGCAGAGTCTCCCTGTGTCACCCAGGCAGGAGTGCAGTGGCACGATCTCGGCTCACTGCAACCTCTGCCTCCTGGGTTCAAGCGATTCTTCTGCCTCAGCCTCCCGAGTAGCTGGGACTACAGGCAAGCACCACCATGCCCGCTGATTTCTTTGTATTTTTAAGAGAGACAGAGTTTCACCATATTGGCCAGGCTGGTCTTGATCTCTTGACCTCATGATCCTCCCACCTCGGCTCCCAGAGTGCTTGGATTACAGGCATGAGCCACCACACCCAGCCAACTTAAATCTTATAAGGCAGACTTCTGATGAAAATGACACCTCAAGCCTCAGCATGACACCTTTTAAAATCATCATGATAAGCATTTATTAAGCACCTACTATGTACCAGACGTTGTGCTGGAATTTTCATTACCCCATCTAATGATGAGGCATGTTTAAGTATAATCCAGCAAGGCATCTATTATTTTGCAGATAAGGGACCTGAGGCTCAGGGAGGTCACTCATATACTCAGCTGACACTTATTAAGCACCTATATGTGCCAGAGTCTGTCCTAGGTGCTGGGGATGTGCAGCGAACCAAACAAGATCTCTGCCTTTATGGAGCTAATGGGAGCACAGATAAAAAAACAAACAAACAAACAAAAGCCCATCATTGTTATTCCAGGTAGCAATGCTAAGTGTGATGAAGAAAAGTAAGGCAGGATTGAGGAACAGAGAGGGACGAGGTGGAGGTATTTTGGCTAGGATGGTCAGGGAAGATATCTGGAAGAAGACGACATTTGAGCAGGGACCTGAAGAGAGGGAATGTGATGCACAGGTCTGAGATAGAGTGCCCAAAGCAGAGAGGGCAATAGCACAAAGACCTGACAGGTCAAGGTGACCAGCCCACACCCAAGATGAGGCCCATGACCTGGAGAAGGGTAGGGAAGGTGGGAAGGGTAAGAATGAGTTTGGGGGAGATGGCAAGGGAAGGTCATTTTTTCTTTTCTTTTTTTTTTATTTTTTTGAGACAGAGTCTCGCTCTGTTGCCCAGGCTGGAGTGCGGTGGCACGATCTCAGCTCACTGCAAGCTCTGCCTCCCAGGTTCACGCCATTCTCCTACCTCAGCCTCCTGAGTAGCTGGGAATACAAGCACCTGCCATCACGCCCGGCTAATTTTTTGTATTTTTAGTAGAGATAGGGTTTCACCATGTTAGCCAGAATGGTCTCGATCTCCTGACCTCGTGATCCACCCGCCTCGGCCTCCCAAAGTGCTGGGATTACAGGCGTGAGCCACCGCGCCTGGCAAGGGAAGGTCATTTTTAAAGGATCAGTGTGGTATGGATGGATGGATGGATGGATGGATGGATGCATGGGTGGGTGGACAGATGGATGGATGCATGGGTGGGTGGACAGATGGATGGATGAATGGATGGATGGGTGGATATGTGTATGAATGGATTTCCATAGATGCCCTTGCACTGACAGCAGGTGTGAGTATCCGTAGCTTATAGGTTGAAAAAATACGTCCAATGTCCCAACTGAGTTTCCAAATATATCTCAAATCAGCTCCCTCGGGGGTCCCAGACAAGCTCATTCCTTAGTGAAGGAGATTGATATAGAGGAATTTTATTCCAAAATTCAACAAGGAAACTAGGTCTTCTTCCCAAGGAAACCATATGGAGAAGGCCACCAGATGTGGCCTGAGAATGTGAAGAAGAAATTTCTTGCCTTTAATGTCTAACTAGGCCAACTCCCAACTCCCACAGAACAGATTGGCACACCACCATCACCCCACCACTACTACCTGGAATCCCCCAGGCAGGACCACTAGCAATATAAGACTGTTTCTAAAGTCCTTGGGCAAGAAAATCTGGTTTCTCCAGGCCCAGCACGGTGGTTCATGCCTGTAATCCCAGCACTCTGGGAGGCCGAGGCAGGCAGATCACGAGGTCAGGAGATCAAGACCATCCTAACATGGTGAAACCTCATCTCTACTTAAAAAAAACACACAAAAAATTAGCCGGGTGCGGTGGCGGGCACCTGTAGTCCCAGCTACTCGGGTGGCTGAAGTAGGAGAATAGCAGGAACCCAGGAAGCGGAGCTTACAGTGAGCTGAGACGGGGCCAATGCACACCAGCCTGGGTGACAGAGTGAGACTCTATCTCAAAAAAAAAAAATTTAAAAGAAGAAAGAAAGAAAATCTGGTTTCTCCAGCAGAAAAAAAAAGTCCACCTGCCGAATAAAGCCGAGGCTCTCTGTCAGGTGCACTCTCACTAGGAGCCTGGTTCTGCGGTGCCACTCCATCTACAAGTCCCCGGCCACCCGCATGACTCACCTCCAAGTCCTTCTCAAGCTCCAGTCCAGCCTCCATCAGATTGTGCTCAAATTCCTCCCGCTGCTCCTTCCTCTCCTCCTCCAGGGCATCGAGCGGCCCCAGCTCAATGTCACCTGGGCCCCCAGCATGAGGCTCCTTGCCTGTCTCCCCATTGGAGACGATAGCCAGCGAGTGGCCAGGGAAGCCTTGGGCCAGGTGCATCCCACGTTTCCGGTAGTGGTAGGCGAGCACATAGTCGACCTTCCTCTGATTGTCATGGAAGTGCATGCGGCTAAGACGGGCTTCCAAGGACACAGGCTCATTGGCATCCAGATAGTTGTTGATGACCTGGCCAGAGAAAGGAGAGGCAGGGCAAGGTCTGGTGAGTAAGGGCTGAGAGCAGAGGAGGCTGATCTATGCTCTGGGCTCAGGGAAATGGACTCAGAAGCAAGCCCCTCAGGCCCAGAGGCCCCCAGTGCCTCCAGTAAAAGGACCAAATGGCCTAAGTTAATCTGTCATGCCAGCTTGCAAAGCCCTCCACCCACCTGTTGACAGTCTGGGCACTGGTGCCTTCACACATGCTCCAGCATCCATGCACACACACACACTCACACACAGACTGTACCTGCAGCAGCAAACCCCTCACAACCGCACCTCCTGCCTCCACACAGAGCCACACGCCCACGCCTGCACACACACATGCAAGCACCTGCAAATGCACACACAGCCACCTCTACCCTCGTCTCCCTGCACCAGAACGCCTGCACCATACAGGTGAAGGGGCCTGTGTACACATGTATCTACCCGAGTGCGCTCTAACACACACACCCCCTTCCACAGGCACCATGGCCCACACACACTCACCTCTTTGCAGATCTGCACCACTGCCTGCAAATACTCTACATATTTAAACACAGAATACTCACAGGCAGGTTCTCTGGATCCATTGGAACAAAGACCAATTTCTAGTCACCTGGCCTGCCCCCTACCCTCCCACCCACGGGAATTCACCAGGCACTATTCACAGCCCCACATCCTCCTCTCCCGCCACTGGTGAGGACCCTGTCAAAGACAGCAGCAGGGAACTGACTTCTGCTCTCTTCCACGCCAGAGGTGGGGAGGTGGAAAGAGGAGGAGGAGAGAGAACACGGTGAAGCAGGGGAGGGACCGGCCTCTCCCCGTGGGTGTTTCCCTGTTTATTACTGGTTTGAAACTCAGCTGCCTCTGCAGCCACCTGAGAGGTCACCTGGGCAACCAGATGAAGCTCCAGGCACAAGGGAGAGACTCAGAGCCACCATAGCAGAGAAGGCTCAGGCTTGCAGGAGGGGACCCAGGGGGTCTACAGACCAATTGGTGGCATCAGCTGGCCTCCCGTGCCTTCTCCTTTCCCGACCCTCCTCTGACCAGCACAGGGCACTGGGAAAGTGTGCCTGACTTGGAGACAGAAGAGAAAAGGCCCTACCCAGGCCTCGCTCTTTCACTCACACACGTGCTCCCAACTGGAGGATGCCCTGGTCCAGAGGCTCCTTGGGGGCCTCAAACAGGGCCGGCCTCTCCCCCGACCCCACCCCTGCCCAGTACTCACAGAGCTGCTGCGGGCACTCTCTCCGCCGCAGGGCTGGCCAGGATCTCGGCTGGAACTGCCCTGCAGACCTGGGGCCCGGGGACCTGGCGTCTGGAGATACTGCTGTCCGTGTTTGGGGCCCTGGCCCCCTCTGGTCCCTGCCTGAGGGCTCAGCCGGCGTGGGGAGCCAGGGAGCAGGGGAATATCTGTGAGAGGGAAAGACAAGGGATGCAAAACAGCCTCAGATAAAGGAAATCCAAGACACTGAGGTCCTGAGCGCACTCACACTAGCCCTGAGAGAATGGCCCATTTTGCTTCACAGCTGCCTCCTTGGTTAGTCCCTACAGCCCAGGTTCACGCTGGCCACAGGGGAGGGAGCATGGAGAAGGAAGTGCAGCCCCCAGAATGCATACACACACACACTCACACATACACACTCTCACACACACACACAATGTACACACACACACACACTCTCACACATACACATACACACACATACACACTATGTACATACACACATACACACATACACATATACACTCACACACACACATATACACACTATGTGCGCACACACAATGTACACACTCACACACATACACATACACTCATACACGCTCACACACACATACATTCACACACATATACACACATACACTCACAGCCATATACACACACACATATACACACATACACATATATACACACACACACACAGCCATATACACACACACACACACACACACACACAGCCTGGAGCCACCAGCAGGAGCTCCTTCGGATCAAGGTTGTCACAATCTCTCATAATCCCCAGACAAGAAAGGGGTGGCATCGAGCAAGCCGGGGGGGGGGGGCAGGGGGGCACTGCCTGGAGAGACACCTTGAATTAATACCAAAGGCTTAGGCTTTGGGCCTCTCCTGTAGGCAGCAGCACCAGCCGGCACCCTGGCCAGCCCCCACCTCCCTCGGGGAGAGAGCAAGGACAGACCAAGAGGGCCCTCTGAACGACGGAACAAAGGACTGTCCTTCAGTGTCCTTTCCGGGCCCTCATACACCTGCTGCCTCTACCCAGGCCCCAGAGGTCTGCAGTCCCTTCTCAGCACGAATGCAGGACCGCTTCAGAAAAAATCCAGTGTCGCCCCCTTAAGGGAAAGGTCCCCAGTAGGTGATGGAATGACCGCATGTTAGAATTGGAGGGAACTGAGGATCAGATACTCCAGCTGCACTTTGCACAGACCCCACTGGAACCGGTGAGTTGCCAAGGTCTCAGGGCAGGTGAGACTCAATCTATCCTCTCCTCTGAGAAACACTTCCTAGCAAAGCAGCACGGCCAGTGCCCAGGCTGAAACCTCAGCTCTGCCACTGGCCAGCTCTATGACCTCTTTGTGCCTGTTCTCCAGCTGTAAAATGAGAATCTCACACTTGCAGGATTGCTGTGAGAATGAGAACAAGAGATAAGTCCTGCAAAGCATCCAGAGTGGTGATGAGCCTGATGGCACGTGATCAAAGGCTGTGATTAGAATCGTCAGTGTTTGCATTTTAACCTCCAAGTGAACAGAAGTAACACCTTATGCCTCCAACTCAGTCCTAAGCACCTGCTCAGTGAATGAACGAACAAAAGGCAACTCTTCCGGTCTGCTGAAATAGAACTCCTGGCCCTTTGCCAACTTATGGAGCAGTCCCTTAGGTGCTCAGCCCTCCAACACAGTTTAAGGGGGCCTAGAATATTCGGTCCCTGCACTTGACAAACATAATCTCTTTATGAAGATAGAGCTGACATGCAGGAAACACAGTTGTGACCAGCAGAGGAACGCTTTCATCATTCCCTTCTATACTGTGGGCTCTAGTCCACACTGTGGGAGACCAGAAAGACTAAGAAGTCAAAGCCAGCTTCTGGGGTAATTGAGCCGGAGCTGGGTCCTGGAGGGTGGGTAGCTTCTGAACGGCCGGGAGGCAGGGGAGGCACTCCCTAGGGAGACAGCACAGAAGGGCAGGCGTGGGCATGCCTTGTGGGAGGAAAACGAACACTCAGGACCCCATATCACTCTGCCGAAAGGAAAATATTAAGCTGAAAGCTGAGTCAGGCAAGACGCTGCCTTTCCTTTTATTCCTAAGCAGACAGCTGCAGATAAAAGGCTAGATAGCTCCACAGGCAGCTACTCTATACTCACCTTGTCCAAAGCGCAAGACGAATACATCATCATCAATTCCCTAACTGCTCCTTTTCTCTTGCAACACGCAGATTCCCACAGACTCCTTCTTTCCCCCGCAGCCTGCTCTTCCCCATTAAATACTGAAGCCCTCAAAATTGTCTTTGGAGAAAGACACAGACCTCTCTCCCAATCACATCCTTAATGTTGGCAAAATAAACTAAATTGGTTGAGGCCTGTCTCCGATATTTTTTGGTTTACATGTGATGGGGATCAGGCTCAGGGCTCTAAAACAGGGGCTTCCTCCCTTGTGCTCCATCTTGCCTCCTCCCACTTCCCTTGTGCCTTTCTGCATACCTGCGCCCCCAAGTGCCTGAGAACAGAACTTGGAACTGAAGGACTCTACCCCAGAGAAGACCTCGAAACCTCTAGATGAATGTTTAAAAAGCTCAAGACCACTGGATACGTCATGGGGGAAATGATAAAGATGATGTTCACTCAAGGGCCACCCTGCCCTGGCAGCTACATTCAAATTTGCACCCATGGCTCAGAGTAGCTCAGATTCAAGGGCAATACAAAGCTTTGGTCCGGCTGCTGTCCAGGAACCACCATCCCCTAAAGGTGCCACCTGGAGTTTGAGGCTGACATTCAGGGCCCTCACTAGCCATCGCAGTCGCTCCCCCAGCTCGCTCGCTGACACACAGATCTGGCTGCCTGGGGACTCTGCTTCCCTTCACTCTGCCCCGCAAGTGATTAGAGCACAGCACACGGTTCAGCCATCCCAGCTGTCCTAGCTCGGGAGAGGCACTCCAGGCAATAAAGACACAAGGGAGCCAGCTTCAGACGTGAGAGGAAGGCCAAGGGGAACGTGAGTGATGCCTGCCCTCAGGAAGGGTGGGGCAGGTAAGCATACACCTTGAGAACTCCCTAAGAAGCTTAGAAGAGGTGAATGAGGTCAATGAGAAGGAAAGGCCATCGTACACAGCCTGTGGAACACGTCACCCATTTGGGAAGAATCTTGCCTTCATTCACCATTGCCTTGGCTCTCCTTCCACGCTGCCTTGAACAACAGATCCTTGGGTGACCACAGTGCCATGAGGGTGGCGGCATGGCTTACCCATGTCTGGATTGAGGAGATGGATGTTCTCAAGGCTGGGGCCTGGGCCTTTCTCCACGTGCCAGCTCTCTCCCTGGGCACTCTCAATCACTCCACAGACCTTCATTGTCACCTATTGCTGACGACATCTGCAGGCACCAGGTCCACACATTCCCCTGCCTGCTCAGCGTCTACACTTGGATGTTTCCCAGCCCCTCAAAGTCAACATGTCCAAATCCAAACGTATGATCTTCAAAACAGGATTCTTTTTCAGCATTTCCTGCTCCTGCAAATGCTCCACCAAACATTCAGTCGACATGCCGGAAATCTAGAAGCAGTCTTGATAGCCATTCTTCCTCATGACCCATATCCAATTTGATATCAATCCTATAAACTTTACCCCTGAAATATCTGCCAAACCCCTCTGTTCTTTGCCCCTCTATAGTCCCACCCTAGTGCCAGCTCTCAGTCTCCTTCACCTGGAGGACAGTGATGCCCTCCTAACAGGTCTCCCTGCTCCCTGTCCCTGTTCCCCATGAGGCAGCCAGGGGTCCTTACAAAACATCCATCTGGCCATGACACCCTGAAGAGCAGAAACTTATGGGGCTCCCATGGCTTTCCGGCTGGGACCCTGCATACTGCCCCCCCAGTCTCCACCCCCTCGCTCCTGCTGGCTCCCTGGGGTCCGCCATACAGCTCTGCTCTAGCACACCATGCTCCCCAGCCCAGCATCCTACATGCATTCTTCCCTCTGCCTGGACCATTCTTCCCTACACACTCCTCAACTAGTTGTGGGCCACCTATTTTTTTTTTTTTTTTGAGACAGAGTCTCGCTCTGTCGCCCAGGCTGGAGTGCAGTGGCGAGATCTCTGCTTACTGCAAGCTCCGCCTCCCGGGTTCACGCCATTCTCCTGCCTCAGCCTTCAGAGTAGCTGGGACTACAGGCACCCGCCACAACGCTCGGCTAATTTTTTATTTTTTTTTTTTTTTTTTTTTAGTAGAGACGGGGTTTCACTGTGTTAGCCAGGATAGTCCCGATCGCCTGACCTCGTGATCCGCCCGCTTTCGTCTCCCAAAGTGCTTGGATTACAGGCGTGAGCCACTGCGCCCAGCTGGGCCACCTACTATTTTGGTCCTTAGGGACCCAGAAAATCCAAAGCAATCCATTCTTGTTTCAAAAAGCTGCTAATCAAGGTGTAAGACCAGAATATTCAGATACTACTAGCAAAGCTAATTTCCTTCCAACCTAGACATGAGTAAGGTTCCACAAGCTGGGTGGTGCAGGATTGGGAGGAGGTGCAGGCCACAAGGACCCATGTGATGTTGTCGGAGGAAGGCCTCACCACCAGCACCCTGCCCCAAGACAAGCCCTTTCTCTGAGCTTAGTTTTTACTTCCATGATTGGGGAAAGGGGGTCATTATTATATGTTTTTCTCATAAAGTGGGTGTGATGATACAGTAAGAGAAAAGATTTAACACTCCTTGGAAGTACATGAGCTATGAACAATGCACAGGATAATTATCAAACCCTCCTTCCTCTGTAGGGTGAGAACAGAACTTGGAACAGAAGGACTCTACCCCAGAGAAGACCTCGAAACCTCTAGATGCATGTCTAAAAAGCTCAAGACCACTGGATACGTCACGGGGGAAATGATAGAGATGATGTTCACTCAAGGGCCACCCTGCCCTGGCAGATGGAGGAGGTGCTGCCTCCTTCATCCGTCTCTTCTCCACTTCATTCCAGTTGCTCTGCTTCAAGTCCCTGGAATTCCCTTTCTCTCCCAGCCCACTGCCTGCTCACCATCCACTTCTTCCTGGAAGCTTCCCCAGACTAAGCAGGAGAAGCACTGGCTGTCTGTCCCCACCATTAGTACAAGTGGATTTACTCATCAGAGATGACCACACACTTTTTAATCCTTTAGGTACAGTCTTGGCTGTTTCATATCAGTAGCCTCAGGCAAGACCTCTGTCCATTCTAATTGGAGCCAACCTCACCACCTTGCAGGACTGCAGGTACCTTAGGTCACTCTACAGAGGCAGATGAAGAAGGGGCAGGATCAGAGACATTGAGAGAAAAGAACGGAGACTGAAAGATGGAGAGGCCCAATCTCAATGAAAAAATAAGTGAAGCCTGTTTTCAGAGTCTCCCTGCACCAGTCCTTCCGAAATCTCCTTCCTGAGCCTGCCCAAAGCCCCTCCTCAGCTTCTGTGCCCCGTATTCCACCCTCCCCTGTCCATCTATCATCAGGGCTTCCAACGACTGTTTCCTCATTTAACCACTGGCTCTGTTGCTAATCAGCTAATTTACACCAAAGTACAAACAGCCCATGCTGATGTCCTGTTACTGGTAAAAAGCATTTTGAAAACATTAAAGGGTTCTGCAGATGGCAGGAGCCCACATGCTGATGAGGCAGAGGTCATAGCCCGAAGGCCTCATCTATAATGGGTTGAGGGGAAGGGGGCTGAAAGGCAGGAGTTCTGGCTGGGACCTCCAAATAATGCTACATCCCCAGACCGTCTGGCAGGAGCCTTCAAGGTCACTGCATAGGCCGAGAGCTAGAAAGGCCCTTCTGAACAGGGGAGAGGGGCAGGCACAGAATGTGGAGAGCTGGTAAGAGTGAGAGAAGCTCGGGCATGTAGCTGACAGTGGAAACACCAAAGCCAAGGAGACCAGGAGACACAGGCAGGAGCAAGACAGGGCCAGATTGTGCAGACAAAAGGCAGAAAGTGAGCTCACTAGGCATGGAGCGGGGGGCAAAGTGAGTCAGCAGGGACCTAGGAGCTTCCAGAGCCTCCAAGAGAGACCAGCGGCAGGAGTCATATCCAGTTAAGGTGTCCCGAGGGAGCTGGACTTCCAGACAGTTGGGCTTTTCCTCTGAGTTTCCCTCTTGGCATCATTACTGTCTCATTCCTAACTCTTGGCGGCTGAAGTATGAAGGGCCCTGAAATGAGGGGCCACCTCTGTCCCCAACCTCCCAAAACCACTGCTTCCAGCAAAACCAGACAGGCCCAGGGCTGCCCTGCGGGGAGACAGAGCATCTGCACTGTCTCCCAGGCTTCTGTACTAGTCTACTTTCCTTCCTCACTAGTCTACTTTCCTTCCTCACTAGTCTACTTTCCTTCCTCACTAGTCTACTTTCCTTCCTCACTAGTCTACTTTCCTTCCTCACTAGTCTACTTTCCTTCGTTACTAGTCTACCTTCTTTTCTTATTAGTCACTTTCCTACCAGTCTTCCTTCCTTACTAGTCTACCGTCTTCCCTTATCGGTCTTCCTTCCTTGTGATTACCTAGGGCTTGATAGAAGGAACCACATTTTGTTTAGCTTAAACTCCAAATGTTTTATATAATGCCAGGCAAGTTAAATGGGTCTGCAGTGAATGAACAGAGATGTGGAATATTGCATATATATCATCCCCACCCCAACCTCCTAAAGAATGGTCAGTTGCTGTGCTTGGAGCCTGGCATGATGGTGTGGGTAATGGGGGCATAGGGAGAAGGCAGCAGTGGATGAGTGTTGGGAGATGAAGTGGTCCAGACAGGTAGGTGCGGACTCAATCATGAAAGACCCTGTATGTCATATACAACAATTTGGTCTTCATCCTAAAAAGAGTAGGCAGCCATGGTCCTGCTGAAGGCATGCCCTGGTAGGAGCCTCAGAGAGACCTGGGTGCTTTCAGATTTGAAGGCCCTCCCCCTGAACCCCTCCTCAAGTGCCCTGGTCACTTCCTTTCAGTTAGAATCAACATTTACACCCAGGTCTCATCCTGCTTACTGCATGAATTGGACCCAGGACAACAGCCAAAATTTGAAGTTCCTAGCTTAAAATTTGGGCCCAATGGTCCTGCTGATTACCCCACCCCTTGCCCCAGAAGTCCTGTGGGGAAGCACTTTCCTCAGCTTGTGTGTGCAGCCACAGTAACAAGACTGCCCTCCACTTCCCTCCACACACACACACATAAAATCCATTTGCAAATCTGCCTCTTGGGCTCTGCTTGTCTTATAGCCTTGGCCCAGAATTAGCCCTCTCTCTCCAATGCACAAGCCCCCCTTTCCTGATGATGCCACCACCACAGTTTGCAGCCTTGCCTTGTTCCCCTTTGATAGAAGTAAGCTGGCCTCCCTACTACTAATCTTGCTTCTCTTCCATCCTGGGCTCACACCACAGCTACCATTACCATTTTGAAACAATCTCACCAAGTTATTCCCATTCTGTGGCTTCCTACTCTTCTTAGGATGAAGACCAAATTGTATATGACATACAGGGTCTTTCATGATCGAGTCCGCACCTACCTGTCTGGACCACTTCATCTCCCAACACTCACCCACTGCTGCCTTCCCCCTATATCCCCATTGCATACACCATCATGCCAGGCTCCAAGCACAGCAACTGACCACTCTTTGGGAGGCTGGGGTGGGGATGACACATATGCAGTGTCTCACATCTCTGTTCATTCATTGCAGACCCATTTAACTTGCCAGGCATATATATAAAACATTTGGAGTTAAAGGTAAACAAAATGTGGTTCCTTCCATCAAGCCCTAAGTAATCACAAGGAAGGAAGACCTATAAGGAAAGAAGGTAGACTAGTAAGGAAAGAAGATAGACTAGTAAGGAAGACTGGTAAGAAAGTGACTAACAAGAAAAGAAGGTAGACTAGTGAGGAAGTAAGGTAGACTAGTGAGGAAGGAAAACTAACAAGGAGATAATCTCCAGAATGGGAGGAGAGTCAACATGGAAGTATGAAGAAGGATCCATGGAAGCAGAAGCCCTCAGCTCAGACTAGAGCTGTCAGGGAGGCTCCCAGAGGACACGGTTTTTGCATGCATCTAGAAGAATTAACCAGGCATCTACCAATGGCCAAGGGAGGAAAGGAGACTCCAGGAAGAAAGGCAGTGATTGTATGATCCATTGTAATAGGCCTCGGGCCTGGCTGGTTGAGATCATGGCCCTCCTGAGAGCAAGGACTGCCAGCCTCCTCACCCTCCTTTTCTGCCTGCAGAGTCCCCAAAGAGGGCCAGCTACGTGGTGGGATTTGAGGGGCACAGAAAGGGCCCCATCTGGTGTATAGTGCACACTTCTTAACATAGCCTACAAGGCCCATGGGAAGTCTTGTCAAACTTCCCAATGTCATCTCCTGCTAGTGACTCTCCACTTGTGCACACACAGCCACACATGCACAGAAACTCCAGAGAAAATGAACTGCCTGCAGCTTCCAGAAGGTGATCTGCTTTGTTATTTGCCCTTCTGCCTCTAAACTTCTCTCCCCAACCACATGACCACCCCAAATTCCACTCTGTTAACAAGGTTCACAATTTATTATAATGTGAAAAGATTTTAAGCAAGAGAACAACATAATTAGATTACATTAGAAAGATGGCCCCAGCTATAGTGAGGATAAATAAGGTGCCAGGAGAAGGATGGATAAATGGATGGATGGGTGGGTGGGTGGATGGACAGGTGGGTAGGTGAATAAATGGATGGACAGATTTCTAACTGCTTTTCTGATACAGGTACCCTTTACAAAATTCACAAAATTTTATTTCACTGGTCACACCAATACTCAAAACTTCCCTTGTCTTGAGGCTTATAAACAACTTGGCATTCAAAGACTTACACAGCTGGCTGTTACGTGTCTCTGCTGCCAAATCCTTCCATCAGACAAGAACATTCCTCTTTAGTCAAACCTGTCCCCAGACTAATGCTCACTTTGTGCCTCCACCTATGCAGTTACTTCTGTTTGGCATGTCCTCTCCACTAATCTAAGTCATAACCAGTTAAAGTCCTACTCCTATACCAAGACTTCCCTAACC